TATATATATGTATGTATTCATGCGTCAATTGTTATGTTATTGTGTTACTAGGTCAAAGGAGTCAGGGTTCACTTCAGGTACAAGGGTTGACTTGGTTATGCTTAGCAGCCTCTGCTAACTTTTGTCCATGCCATAACCCTGTGAGATAACAAGCAAAAACCCTGTTCCTGCTCTGTTTGATGGGTTCCACAACTGCTGCCTAGAGACACATTTGTTGCCTGTAAGCTCATGACAGTGTTTCCAGCCAGTGGGTCTAAAGGCCTGAGTATGCTTAAAACAGACCAGTTTGTACTTGAATGAAGTTACTGCATTTCTAAGTTTTTCTCTTTTTATGTAAGTGTTTTGTTTTTACAAGAGTTCATGTACAGTCCAATTAAAAGTGGAACTATAACTAAAATGTTACTCAAAATAAATAAGTCTGTTAGAAGACTAGTGACCTATCCAAAATAACACACACATAGCAGTTTAAATATATTTATTTATTTAGCCTATAAATAAGTAATGTGTACTGTCTTTGTTTTAGCTCCCACCAAAACTGAGTGTAATGTCATGTGAGATAATGAGTCAGAGTTAGATGAGTCACCAGGAAACCTCACCTCACCACAGATGACCTCACCAGGAGCAAGAGCAGTACTGCAGGAATACACCCTACTGCAGTAGCAGTAGCCTGGGAGCCACTGGCCTTTTCAATCAGTTCTTGTGCTGCCCCCTTAATAGCCTGATTACTGCTGGTTGTATGCAGTAACCTCATGTCTTCAAACTTAATGTAATGTTTTGGTTCACTCTCAGTGCTCTCATAGTGCTGTTGTTGGTTAGCAGGCAGCTGTTTGAAGTGAAGAAGCTATGAAGCAGATATTTTTCCCAGGAGTTAGTGGAGAACAAAATGGAGCTAAAAGAGAGTGATTGTTGGACTTATATTTGTTGAATGGTGAGAAACACAACTCCAAATTAACGGTGATGTTGCTACATATTTCCTTAATGTATATCTCAGGTCTGCAGGACGTGTACTGGGTTTTGAGGCCAATTTTTGTAGTGGCAAAACATCGGAATTACGTCTGTCACATGATGCCCTGAAAGACTTTCCCCCATAGACTTAAATGGTGAGAGAGATGCAGACAGACCTTTCCAATGGGGAAATGATGCTGTTATTTCAAAGCCAGTGACAAAAACAGTAATTTTTAGTGATGCACAATAATATTGGCATGTCATCGGCATCGGCCAATATTGGCTTTAGGATGAATCAGAATCATCCAATATGCTTTGTCTTACTTTGAACAATGAATTAATATTATATACATTGAAAGTATTGTATTTCATGTCTCAATCTGCTGTTGGGTCATCCCAATAAGTGTTTGCATGCATAATATGATGTTAATTCCACTGCAGAAGAGACTTGATGATCACTAAAATTAGGTGGGGGAAAAAGTGGATATATCAATATCGGTTTCGGTTATCAGCCAAATGAGTTGTTTTGTATTGGCATATTGGCAAAAATCCAATATCCTGCATCCCTAGGAATTTTACTTTGCAGAACACTGGAGTGGCTGGTCTACTGCTGCCTGATCGGTTAATGTGTAAAGTGAAACAGTTAAAGTATTCAAAATATAGCATATTTGCACAGGTACTGATTTCTCTAGTTGGCTAAAATGCATTTTGCTGTTGTCCCTGTCCACATAAGTATATTGCTTAGCTTCCATGCCGGTAGATTTGGTTTATTAAAGATGGTAGCAAAGCAACACGGTAGCCAGCATGAAATAGCAGAAAAATCCAATAGTTCAAACCACAATGTTTAAGTGAATCCTCAAACATTACAGTTATGGCTGTAAATGACAACAGAAATAAACAAGTTTGCCAATTTTTACATATCTCCATCATTAAAATTAATTGTCAATTGTCCACTTGGAATTGATTGTTTTTAGCATGACATCACCGTGATTCTGTCTATTGACAGAGCAAACTGGTTGTTTTCCAACTGCTTCCAATTTTAATGCTAAACTAGGCCTAACCACACCCTGGCACAAGCTTTGTTTGTATCACAGACATAAGAGTGGCATCAGTCATCTCATCTCACCATCACAAAAGAAAAGGAACGAGTGTGTTTTCTGAAACTATTTCTTTCAGTCAGATAACACAGATAAGAGGAATCCACTGATGATCATCTAATCTGGGTGGCAGCACAGACTTCATGTTGTGGCCTGCATGAACTTTTGAGCTCCATTTATTAATGGCAACACCTCAGACATGCCTGGTCAAGCTTTGGCCCATAAGACAGCCAGAAGCACATACAGTACCTGGCTGTCAGATCTTTCATCCCAGACACAGACGAGCTGAAACTGAAAATAATCTGTAGGGAACATCATGCGCAGAGGGATGCCCAGAATAGTGGAAGGGGTCACTTTGACCTTCAGAGGGTTACAGTTCACTAAGTTAAGCATATTTTTTTTTAAAGACTGAAGCAGGAGTTACTTCGCTGTTAAGGGGCAAGGCAGCAACTATGATTGTCAGAAGATTAGTCTTAATGACTCTGTGGGTCTGTACAAAGAAGGGTGCAGAGCTGTCATCTGCATTACATTTGATCCTGTTGCAGCAATGAGGTCACCATGATTCATCATCTTTACAACCAACCAAATAAACAAGTTCAATTACTTTATGTAGGATCACACAAACTGCACTGTGACAAGAGTCCATAACACACATTCAGACACACCACAGAGGCCAGTGCTAACACACTGTACAATGTATAAATAAGCCACAGAATGACCAGTCTGACACACACACACACACACACACACACACAAACACACACACACACACACACACTTAGGCACGCACGCACGCACGCACACACACACACACACACACAGTCATGTGCAGCAGTGTGTCAGGGATCCAGTGTCAAAGTAAGAGAGGCTACATTTCCTGAGAAAATTGTGTGTGTGTGTGTGTGTGTGTGTGTGTGTGCACTCCAAAGTTCTTTCCTGTAATTTGAATTACACAATCTGTGTAAGTGTGTGAAGATTTCCGTTAAGTAAGACATAGACTGTGGACTCTGTCTCTTGTCAAAAAAGCATGATTTAATTAAATAATGCCTCATTTGCTTATTTACCATAATATTTCAGAGAACTTAAAGTAGAAAAAAATAACTGTCTTATTGTAAGTAATGAACAGGGTAGTTGTATGGTGATATCTATCAGTCAAAAGTTTTTCCCTTACTTCAGTAACACACAGTCAGGGTTGATGAAAGTGTTTGGTAGGCAACATTCTACATGCACAGGTATTCCTAGTCTAGGTAGCAGGACACATGTAATTTCGATACTTTTATAAATAATAAATATATTTTAAAAGTAACTGGTTGCTTATTTGAAAGGGTAACTAAAAACTGATTACTTTAAATGCAAATACTAACATGTGATGTTACTCATTACAACACAAAAGTAATCTGAGTAAATATTTTGTAAGTCAGTTATAACAACACCTGCTCACTATGCAAAGATGTCAATACCTTTGATCACTAAAAAGGCAGCAGTAGGCACAAATGGAATTCTCAAATTAATGAGTGCAACACACTTAATGGCCCCACCGACTTGTGCCATCACCATAACAACTAACAACGACCGCCGTTTTCTGTTGAAATAGTTAAATGACCAGGGCAAACAGTTCAATGCTCTTTCTATTTGTTGTCTTTCTAAGGTGAGTTTGTTAACCCATGTGACAGACTGGCTTTTGTTATTTGGCCTGCTCACAGAATTAATATAAAAATAACTACAGCTGAGTTAAATTAACTGTGACAGATGTTTTGCTCATTTTCTATTATAACTTAAATGTTATAATAGAAACTGCCTAACTTTTAGGCAGTATTTACATTGATACACCATGATTAACACTTTCAAGTGCATATATCCAGTTGTCTTAAGCCCTTTCACTCCCATACACTTCCAAA